CGAGACATGAGGCTAGGAGAAGGTGTGGAGTATGATGATAAAGTGTTGGAGTTTTTGGAAGGAGAAAAGGTGGAGGAAAGACTGAAAGAAGTGTTAAGTCATGAGGTAATAGATGAGGAGGAAGCGATTCTGTTAAGAAGAGTGGCTATGTGCAGGTAAGTAACAGAGTTAGACCAAACTGTAGTTACATAATTTGCATTGAGTTAGGCTGATGTACGGCAATTACCAGCGTTCTGGAACAGTGAAGAACATTGAAATGGAGGAATATAGAAACAGGATAAAATCAGAAGAGCACGATGTTATTTTAGTAAAAAACCATAAAACCAAGGATCGTTATGGTTCTGCAAAAGTTGTTTGCAAAAAAGAAACAGTAGAGGTCATAGAGAAGTAAGTGTTAAGTTTTAAAATGTATAAACACATTTATATGTAGATATCTGGAATATGCTCCGGAGAGCAAATACCTCTTTGTGACCAGAACAGGACATCAAGTGGCAAATCCCTTTAGGGAACTAGAAAATTTGTGCATCCAAATGGGACACCAGCCCATCAAGATATCTCCAACGGAGCACCGGAAACAGAGTGCTTCTAGAGTGGAACTAGGAAGGGACGAAAAAATGACATTAAAGATTTCACAAATGATGGATCATTCCATAGACACCCATAGGGCAAAATATACCTTTGTCAACACAGCAAAAGAGGCCATTGGTGCCTACAAAACACTGCAAGACTGGCGACATAGCCAACATACAAAAAAAGAACAGAAAATTGAAGAATGTGAGGACAGAGAACGTGAAGTAAAGAGGAAGCGAAAGTGGAACTTGCTACATGATTTGTCATGTAGCAAGTGCTTTTATATGTCGCAAAATTTATACCAGCAACTGCTTAAAGAGCTTAAATCTCAACATGCGTCTTTAACTACTGATTCTTGGACAAGCAAAATGACTGAATCATACACAACCTTGACCATCCTTTGGATAAACAAGAATTGGGAGCTCATTAACAAAGTACTATTCACTAAAGAGCCGTCTGAAAGACATACTGGTATAGATATAGCTAATTGCCTGAGAGATGGATGTGTGGAGTGGGGTATTTCTGAGGAACACATCACAGCCATTGTGCATGACAACGCAAGTAACATGATGGCAGCATCAAGAGAGCTTGGATAGCAAAATGTACCCTGTGCTGCTCATACTTTGCAATTAGCTGTAAACAAAGGCCTGCATGGATATCAGTCATATTAGCCGTCTTGCTGTAGTTTGTAGGAGGTTGGTAGGCCATTTAAACACAGCACAGTGGCTATGACAGCATTAAAAGAAAAATAAGAGCAACTTCATTTACAAAAGCACCATCTTATCCAGGATTACTTGATGCTTGAGAGGCTCCAAGAACAGCGGTCCGGTATTCATGCAGTTCTGCATGATGACAAGGCTTCAGAAGTAAAGTATACATATACTGTAGGTCTCTTAACCCACCAAAGAGCAATGGTCACTGTTGAGAGATGTGTCAATAGTCTTAAAGCCTCTCCAGGTTGCTACAACAGCACTCTGTAAAGCCAAGACAGTATTTGTTTCACCAATAACTAAACGAATGTAAAACATTGAGGGTACAATAGATCTTAACAGACTAACAATACTCATGCATGATGATGATGATTGTGCAAATAGAAGCAAGCTCAGAATCTGATGGATTTAGTTTTTGATCATCTACCTTTTGTAATCTTTGCAGTAATTAAAGAAATCTTGCTTATAGCATTAAAAACAGCTACAACCAGTCATTGCACAAAATAATGAAATAACTGTAGCAAACATAGTTCATTTTTCCATGACCTAAGTTAGCTCAGATTGTTTCTGACTGTGACTGATATTCGAATACTTGATCAAAGTTATTTACATCAATGAAGAACATCTGGTTTCTTAACCTACCTTGCAGCAGTATCTTAATCCTTCGTTTTTAGAAGTTAGGCAACGATCGGTTGCCAATGCTGTTTTCAAAAACGGAGAGATCTTTAAACAGAATACTTGCACAGCGGAAGAAGAGAGCAGCAATGTAGTTATAAATGAGCCATCAGTAAAGAAGAAAGAGACAGCACTTTCATTTCTACTAGGGGACAATGAGGAGAATAATGAGAACTGTACAGGTGAAGAAGTAGAGAGGTATCTGTCAGCAGAAAAAGCAATGAGCTCAACATCTAATGTCAATATGTTAGAATGGTGGAAGAACCTATCCTTCATTGGCTTGCTTGGCAAAGCATTTATTATGTGTCTCAGTTCCAGCCAAAAGAGAGTTTCTCAACTGCAGAACTCACTATTACTAATCAATAAAGCAGTTTAAATAAAGAAAATGTCGATATGTTGATTCTTGCAAAAAACTTGCCTAAGTAATTCATTTTAGTTATGATAACAATAAACACTTAACTATGATAACTAATGGAGGAACTATGTAAATACTGAAGCAATAGGCATTTATCCTGATATGCTACTATTTAGATAAGTAAATGTCCTGTTCATGCAAGTATGCGTCTGTTTCAGCCATAACACAGGTATGGCAAAAAAGGGCTTGACAGCTTAAAAGGATATTAACATTGCAAAATTATTAGTTAATACATGTGCATGTAGTATAGCAGCAGCATGTAATTGCTCATTAGTATCCAGAAGCTGCTTCATTTATGAAAATAGCCTCTCTTATCAGTTAGGTCTACATGTTTAGTTACTCTTTATTCCAGCTTCCATCCAAGCTTCTCACTGTTCTCGCACAAACAGAAAAACTTGGCCACTTCTCCCACAGTTTATTCCTAATAATCTGCTGTTATCTCATCAGACTCTTCCATACACTTGTTTATAAATTGTAGCTTCTCTAAATCCAGCTTAGGTGCCTTAATTTCTTCATCTTGGTCCTCTTGGAAGGTCAGCTTTAGCTCATGTTGCTTTATACTTTAAATGAAATTAAGCAAAAACTGTAAAACAGTATATCTTTCAAGAAATCACTTATAAATTGATGAAACAGAGTAGGATAGAGTTCGTTAAAAACTATTATTTTAGTTTCTAAGAATATCCACCATGTTCTCCACAAAATAACTATACACAATTAAAAAGGTACACACATACCCTGTAAGGAAACACACGCATGATGACTAATCGAACACATGGTCAATGCAAAATGGCATAAAAAAGCATGTGTCTCTTTTATTTCCATACTTTCAATAAACAGGAGTTAAACTAATGCTAAAGAACATAAAAAATTTAAAAAAAACAAGATGAAGTAGGATTCTAGAGCAAATTTGTAAAAAAGTAACAGAAACAAGGACAAGTAGGATTTTGAATGACCAACGAAAATACGAAATGAAAATCCTACTCTCGTGACGCAAATTCTACTCTACATTGTACTTTTAATA